CACCACCAGCACCACCAGCACCACCAGCACCAGCAGCAGCACCACCACCACCACCGCGACCACCACCACCACCACCACCACCACCACCACCAGCACCAGCACCAGCACCAGCACCACCACCAGCACCACCACCCGCACCACCACCAGCACCACCACCAGCACCACCACCAGCACCACCACCAGCACCACCACCACCACCACCACCAATTCTACTCCTTCTGCTACTTACTACTCCCCACTTCTGCTACTGCACCTTCTGCGACGATCGCCGCAGCCGCCACCACCATGACAACTACCGCGCTTACCATTGCTGGTGCTGCTGCTGCTGCGACGACAGACTTATAAGGATGCTGGAATGGCTGTTTGTGTGCGATTACGTGGTTTTTATTAGCAAGACATATGTGCTAAGTGCTGCTGTTGCTGCTGCCATCACCACCATCATCATCATCATCCTCATCTTCATCATCATCCTCATCTTCATCATCAGTATCATCAAAATTAGCGCCATCAGCGTCACCATCATCATCGTCGTCATCATCATCATCATCATCACCATCATAATGATTCAGCACGGAAGCAAGCCCAGGATGCCTGGAATTCTAGAGTAGCCTTTTTTCCGATCGAGGGACAGGCAAATCAGGGTCATAGCTTTTGGAAGCTGTTCGGGTTTGGGGCTTGGGGTTTAGAGTTTAGAGGCTTGGGGTTGAGGGTCCAGGGGTTTATGATTTAGGGCTTAGGGCCCTGCAGTCAGGCTTTCACTAGGCCTGCTTAGCAATGCCATGGATCTGACAAGCGTTTGGAAGCCAATCACAGCGGCCCGTTTGGGGCTAGAGCATTCTTATCTTGTCTGTATTCGGATACCATGCCTCAAGATGGGACTTCATGGACTAGATCTCGCCAGGCGTCCGCGATGAAGAGCGCAAGGTGCAGTCGGGTTTGATTGGATCAGAGTCCCAAAGCATCCTGCGGCCAAAGCTTCAAGCACTCCTACTAAGCCAAATTTGGCATTGCCATCTGGGGCTTTTTTTTACTATAGGTATCTTATCCAGCCAAAACAGGATCTTGCGATTCAATGCTATGTTGGGTGCGGCTCTATGGATGAATGCACTTTGCATTGACAGCTTACAGTTCCTAGCTGCTAGCAACAAAAAGATTAAAAATCCCAAAAGGAAGATTCTCCCCTGGACCCGGAAACTTAAAGTTAAGCTCCAAAGCTGAATCCCGGAACCCAAACCTTCAGGTATGAAGCTGTATTTTTCACTAATTTTGTAGAGTTGGTTGTGAATGCCCGATAGTCCTGATATGCTGCGTATGTGGAGAGAGAAAAGTTAGCTACTGTGCCGATGCTCGGGAGGGCGCGAGGACTGCTAGTCACGGGGTTTAGCATTTGTGGTGTTGGTGGCATTCCCAAACCTTGCAGGAGACGGAGAAGAGGTGTCAAACAAAAAGCCTTCACTTGAAACCTTGAGCCCCAAACCCCACACCCCCACAGACCCCCCAAACCCCAAAGCCCGAAGCTTAGCTCATCACTGTCCCAGGGCGACACCTTCCTTACGTGCCTCGGGCTAGGGGCCATCGCCATCAGCGTGCTTCAGTGGTGCTTCTGTCACAAACCACCTCCACCGATGGAGAAGCCTCTTCTCTGAGAGTCTGGGAAGGGTTTAGGGTTTTTTAGGGTTAAAGGGGTTTATAGGGTTTATAGGGTTTGCAGGGTTTAGCGTCTGGGAAGGGAGGTTCGGAGCAAGAACAGGGGGTTTTAGGTTCCGATATGCGCCCGCAACGTCTCTGCCAGCTGTAAGCTTTTGTGGCTGCAGCTGCACCCGCCCCAAAGCGGGCGAGATGGGCCAAAGTGAGCAGAGATCGGGGCGGGGCCGCTTTGAAGCAGATGTGATCCTCTGCTCCCTCGACGGTCGTGGCTGCTAGGACGTTGTCATGCCAGAAAAAGCAGACTTCTTGCAACCACTCCTGGATCCGTAATGACCAATGCATACCTGGAGAAGTCAGGAAATCTCCACGTCTCCCAGTATCCTAGGGCTAAGCAAGAGTCACCTAAGCATGCCATTGATCCTCGAGCAACGGAGAGTGCCTTGTGTCAGGACGCCATCCTACGTTCATTCTACAACTTCCTGGGCAAGGAGCCTTGCAGCTGTCTGGTCAGTGCTGTTTGGGGGATTTAGGGTTTAGAGTTTAGCTTCCTTTCCTTATTTTGGCGGTTTCACGAGATGCTGCAGGTGGGAACTGCTACAATGCTAGCCTTGATGTCTCAGTCGCAGAATCGCATTGGAGGCAGGCGAGACATTACAAGAGTGTTTGCACTACTCATGCTTTGAATGTCCTAGTTGTCATCATAGCGAGAGAACTGCAAGCCAGATGTCCTGAATTTTTGCTGAGAATGGGCAATGGCCAAGCGGATGAGATTTTCCAAGTTACTGTACCTCCGGAGGGGCCTGTGTTTAGTGGGACCAGGATATCCTCATCGTCGGAAATTGTGCGATTCAAAAACTGTAGTCGTGGGATGTTCACGAAAGCAACAAGTTCAAGGACAACAACAGTGATCGCAACAGTCGTGAACGTGATAGTGAGGCTTTAGGGTTTAGGGTTTAGGGTTTAGGGTTTAGGGCGGTAAACTCCTAAACCCTAAATGACCGTGCGGTATAGGAGGCTCTGACTGTGAGAATTTGGCTCCGAGCTTTGCCGCATAGCCACATCTCGGTCTCTGCCGGAAACTTATCGCTGCCATCTGATGGCAAGTCCTTCCTGCATGGCTCTGCATGGTTTTATGAAGGTGTAGCGTGTTGGGTAACGTATTCTCGACGATCTGACTACATCTTCCCAAGGTTCAGAAGCAGGAGCGGCTCAGGCATGTGCAATTTATGGAAGCTAACATAAATACTACCATTATTCCTTAGGGCTCCTTGTTAATGCAAGTTGATGCTGTGACATACATCAGAAGCTTATTGAAATGACTATAGCCCCCTACACTACCCGAAGCCCAGAGCTTCAAAGCTTCCTCAGGCCTCAGCCCTCGACTTCCCATTCCAAAAACCAGAAGCCCAAACTCCGAACCCTTTCTGCCCTCTGCCTAGAGCACAAAAAACAAGGCCCCTACACATTTCCCAGACACCCCGAGCTCCAAACAGAAGCTCAAGACCAGCTGAGCGGCACTCATGGCCCCCTGCTGCGATGAACGCCAGCGACCTCCCCTGCCGGATCCTCTTGAGCGACAGGCAGGTCCGGCAGGCCGACCCAAGGGCCTCCAGAGTTCGTCACATCCGCGACCCTCATTTCCAGGAGTCTACCACTTGAAGGGTGGTCCTCTGTGTGTGTTCAATGTGTTCGCGTTGAGGACTTTGGGCCTGAACCTCAAGGGTTTGATGCTGGCTTTTCTTGCGGGGTTTAGGTGGCTGCTAAAAAGGCGCCCTTCGGGTTGACCTGAGCTTACAGAAGCAGGTACACGGAAACCATGTCTTTTGTAAGCCCTGTTTAGATATGATCCTCTCCTCGCCCCACAGCAAGGTGCTTGGAAACGTGCTTCTAGGAGTTGTTGGCTGTGATTCTACTGCTACGGAGTGTATCTTGAGGAAGTGCGGCTTGGCCTTGTTGCTTCTGGTCCTGCAATGCCCTGTACCTCAACCCCGGAACCCTTAAATTCATCCTTTTTCGGAGGTTCTTGGAGACCGCGGCGAGGACTCCTTAGCCGGCTCTCATCTTTGTAAGGTTCGAATCATGAGAGTCTTTGCCAGCCAGCCGGTGGAATGGTCATTTGCTTCGTTTTTTGCTTTGCTGCGTTTTTAGGCTTTTTGTTCCAGCCTTGCATGATTTGGACTCTGCCCTGCGTGGGGTCTGCGGGGACCAGCTTTCCATCATCATTTCGTCCTGCTGCTATGCATCCGACGAGCATTCTTCTGGCCGGCTTCTCGCCTTGAGGGTCTGTATATGTGAAAGCTGGGCTGCCGGCTATGCGTCAACGAATGCTATGACATGAACACTGTGTCTTTCCAGTCCTTCCTGCAGTGTGAATTTCAGTCTCGAACGACACTCCCGTCAGGAGAGCCTAAAGCGGCTGCGTATGGGCAGCGGTGCCAACATACAGCTGCTCAGAGGAGCCGGAGATGGGTTCAGTTGAAGGCTTGAGATACAGCATTGATGGCTGCCAAGCTTTCGGGTCTTAAGCTTTGCAATGCTTATGGGCCAGAGGAACGCCTAATCTTAATTGTCTGCTTCAGCAGCCCTGAAGAATACCTCCCATAAGCCCTCGAGTCCGTCTCGTGCAGGGCCCTTGTTGCCTGCTGCGTTCCGGGCGAGAGACGAGTTTCTCGCTGTGGCTTCTCCGCAAAGGGTCAACTGCAGCTTAGAGCGTGTCCGTCTGTCTGTCTGGCTGTCTGCATGTGGTGTGTAACTACGTGTGCATGGACGTATGTACAGCTGCACCTGCATATCTGTCTCTGTGTGTGTGTGTTTGTGCTTACATACCTCTGCGCATTCCGTTGCGACTTTCGCAGACAGCGTGCATGCTTAATCTTGTGTACATATTTCGCCTGCCTGCATCTATTTAGGTATACATGTTTAATATATGCATATATACGTGTCGTGCGTCTGTATGCACTCATGTTGGCATGGGTACATGCTTTACTTGTAGGTCCTCCTTGGCCGCTGCGGCCACGGGGTTGCCGCATAAGCCTTTCTACAAGAAACGACGATGGCAATAGCACTGGTATCGCTCGGACCAGCAAAACGGAATGCTCGCGACTGGCAGGAGCCAGAGTGATGCTCGCAGCATCGACAATACCCGCAGTACTGCCGTGACACCAGCAATATAGCAGTTTTTGCAACCCTAAACCCAACCCAAACTAAACCCTAAACCCTAAACCCTAAACATTTTCCTCGCGCCTCTCTCCATCTTCCACAAAAGGTTTTTTGGGCGGACGACGGCGCTCGGCTGCGGCGAGCGCTCTCCGGCGTTCTGGAGAAGGCTCTCTGTCTCCTTCACGCTTTTTGGACTTTAGATTACATCTCCCCTGATTTGGGGGGGGGGTGGGAGGGTTTCGGGTTTATAAAATATAGTATAATAAAATATACTAAGGGTTTAGTCAGAGTTTTGGGTTTCGGCGCTTCCTCCCAGCACATGGCCCGCAAAAGGGCCCCTCGAAGTCAAAACATCAAGCCGTGGCCTTTTCTGGAGTTGATGAGGAACCTGAAATCTGAGCTTAAGGGCTACATCAGTGGCTCTTTGTTTGATCTTTTGCTGGAGGCCTTCGCGACACGGCAGGCCAGATCTGGAGCTGGGAACAGGGGATTCGATCGATCTTCTGAGCTTTGAGGACTCAAGGTTGTAGAACGGTAGGTTCTTTAAAGGGTCCAGGTAGGGCCTGGGTTTAGAGGCAGCTTGGACATGTGCAGCGACGCCCGGCTTGGGTCTCTCTGATTTCTCCTTGTATGTGCCATTTTCAGGTGGCCGGGGCCGCCCCACCTGCGGAGCCTGCAGCGACTCGTGTGCTGGAGGAGGGGGGCATTTGGGGCTCGGGCTCGACCTCATGTGCGAATTCGAGCTTCGAGGCTCTGGCTCGGCAAGCCAGAGCCGGCAAAGAGCATACTGAAACTGGAAATGCATCTTGAGACTTCTCATGAGGACGGCTTGCCGAAGCGCAGTCTAAGTCTAAGTGACAGCAGCGGGCTTCTCCGCGATCCCTTCTCGTGGCCGGAACGGCTCCAGCTCCAACTGTTTCTTCATGGCCTGTTGTACTGCTTGTACTGCCAGGTGATGATCCCAGAAGTGGCGTGTCGGCACCTCATCGGTGCGCGGGGGGATCGCATCAAGCTCCTGCGAGAGGAGTCGGCCTGCGCCGGGGCCTAAGAATGGCAAAGCTTGGACTGGATCCTCTGTGTGTGTGTGTGTGTGCGCGTGTCTTCATATATCAACACATATATACATGCATGCGTACGTACGTACATGCACATAAACACAGACACATACACATTTACACACACCTGTCGTTCCGAGACATTATACATCGAGCGTGTATGCATGCATGTGTGCATGTATGCATGCATGGATGGATGCAGGCATGCGTATGCATGCATACATGCACGCAGGGATGGATGGATGGATGGATGGATGGATGGATGGATGGATGGATGGATGGAGGTATGTAGGTTTATTTGTTTGTACGTATGTATGTGCGCATGTACTGATGCATGCATGTATGTGTCGAAGTATGTGCATATGCGTGCATGTTTGTTGTAACGAAGTATGCAAGCATGTGTGCATGTATGTATTTGTGCCTGTTTTGAGGGCGTAAGCTTTGTAGGTGTACCTACATGTTGCTGTCTGGCGTTATGTGAGTATCCCCGCCTATCGGGTAAGCACCAGCAGCTTTACCATACGCACAAGCTGGTAATCATTCAGGTAGACCCGAAGCTGCATAGATAGCGAAGACATGTTGCGACGATAGACAGAACTGTTCTCTCTCTGTGTGGCTGTTTGCCGAGGAGATCCATCTCTCTCCCGGGAATGTTGCCGGCATTGCCGCCCAGCGGCGTGTGAAATGCAACGGGCCTGAGACCCAGTCGTTTTCAGTTGGATGTATGTAGTGAAGGATGTGACGTCAAAAATCAAGAGCCATGATGACACATCTACGCCAACATTAGCAGGCTTGGTATTGTCATCAAGACGGAGTCAAGAGATGGAAAGCACACAGATGTTGGAGTTGTTTGTGTAACATGCGTTTAGGCGTGTGGGTGGAGTGTAACGTACTGTAACGTGAGGGGCAAACAGGGCAGCTGGCGTCTGCGACAGTGGTACGGTAAGTACACAGTCGGTATTGGACGGTTAACAATAGCAAGCTGAAATACTGCATTCATGACTATCCTTGTCTGGCTCCCAGTGCATGTGAAAGCAGTGATGCAAGACTGGCAACCGTTCACCAGATTCTGCGGTGCCCCGTCAAGGCCACGTTGCAAAAGTTAAGAGCAGCAAGAAGGCCACCGCATCGGCTAGCGGAAGTAGCCTTTGTTCTACAGTGTCATCTGTACTGTATGATCTGTCATTCTCGCTCTTGCAGTGACAGTCACCGCCGTTCTTCTGCTCCTTCATCAACAACAGGAAGTAGCCATGCAAGCCAGCGATGCTCTCGCAAAGCAATGGCTGCTGACAGCTCGAAGCCCTAAACTTAGCAGATGTGAGGTCGGTTGCCAGCCTCGTAGAGGCCGCGGCGCGCGTGCACGAGGCCTGCAGCAGTTCTCCCTCCGAGCAGCCATGGCTCTTTTGCTGTCACCTGGTGGTGGTTTTTAACGGTTGTGCTCGTGTTGGTGTTGGTGTTGTTGATGGTGGTAGCGGTCTGTTGCTGTCTCTAGTCACTCTAGTCATCGCTGGCTGTTGTTGCCATAGCTGCTGTATAGTTGATGATCTTGATAATTCGGTTCTGGCCTGCCGTCCGTGGTTGCCGCAGTTGAGAGTGGATGGTTTTGGCTTCTGCATGTCTTGCGAACTGGTGTGTGTCGTTCCATGTTGGAGGGAGTGCAGAATGGATTTGAAACAAAGCGAGCAACAGCGAACTCGTGACAGAAACCAGGCCTGGGGATTGGAACCAGAAACCCAGTAGGCAACCATGACACCTGGCAAGGAAAACCACACGGGAGAGCATCTAGGAATCTAGGGTTCGGATATTTCGTGTTTCTGGCGCAGAAGCACCAGGAAGTGCACGCTTCAGACATGCACGCAGGAGGGGTAGAGAGCACCAAGAAGCACAAGATGCCCTAAACCCTAAACCCTCAACCCTTTACCCTGACCGGTGCAAACGCCTTGGGGTGGCTGCAAACAGTGTAACAGGACAGGGGGAACTTGTAGATGGCACCCAGGGGGCGCACGCTGAAAACCAGGATAAAGGCAGATGCAAGCAGTACCAGGTACAAGCAGCCAGGCTTCCCTCTTTGCCGTGGTTCCCGTCAGTACTGCGTTTGGTTTGCCGTGGTACGTTCATGGTTTCTGCTACAGGCCCCTCTGGTTCCCAGAACGGTCTTCGGCTTTGGGTTTGGTAACTGCCTCTATCTTGGTACGCCTTAAGATTAGGTCACTGGTATGAATTCTAGCCCATGTATACCTTGCAGTACAGGCATCCTAGAATCCTATCACGGTGCACAGGATGACGATAAATGATAGGCCATCCTGAGCTCGTGACCACGAGGTGCTGGTGGAATTTGCGGAGATTGGGATCCTCTCGCTGAGATGCTTGGCTTCTTTCAGCTTCTCAAGGCTTTGCCGGAGTCTTTCGAATTTCCCGGGGAAATTCGATCAACCCATGTCCTGAAGGCAGGCAGAGTCGGCAGGCTCTCAGAACTAAGCTGCACGATGACAAGCCCTGTCGCGAAACTTCATTGCGGCAAACAGAGGAGCAATGTTCTACCATGTTTCGTGTGGTGGCATCGCCGTCTTCATCATCTTTGTCATCTCTGCTGTTCCCTGTGCATTCAAGGGCATTTCGATCTCCAAGAGGTTACAGTGGGCGAGCAGGAGGAGACCATGCAGAGATGACTAGGATCCTTTACTGATGTAACAATATGTGATGGTAATATGGACAAAGTGTACATGAACGCTGCCGGATCGCATGTATAAGCATGTCGCAGCAACATCAAGAGCTACTGCTGCTGCTGCTGCTGCTGCTGCTGCTGCTTCTGCTGCTACTACTACTACTACTACTACTACTGCTATTACGACGACGACGATGTAAGGGTGGAGCAGGCTGTAGCTTTTCATCCATGAGCTCTCACAAACCCTCGATGTGTCTGAAGCCGAAGACGTTCCCGTGTCCCTGCCGGTCCGATTCGCCCCGAACCCGCATTCTGTCTGAAACTGGAAAACTTGCAGGACCCGGCTGTGAACGGTTCGCGCCGCCCTTTGGGCGCAGGCAGTGTTGTTGCTGCATGTTGATTTGAACCTGTGTTTCATGTACGGTTTTCCTCCATTCACTTCCGATTGTGTTGGTGTGGTACCGTTGTGCATTGGTTTGCTGCTATCGTCCATTATTATCACATGCCGCCCCAACCACAACTTCCTCTTGACAGGCATGCTGTCACAGAACCGGTGTTTTGAGGCCCTGTGCCGGCAGAACTTGTCTCACTACGGTCGCGCAATGGCTTTCTGATTTGAAGACTTCTGGCTCGGTCCCCTTGTTTTGCACAGTTGCTTCTCTGGCAAATACTTCTATGCCCTCCACATTTTGCACACGTGCGCAGCATGCCTTGTTCAATGTTGCGTGGGCCTTTCCCGGCGGAGGCCTTGCTGGCATCGCGCGCCGCGAGGCATCGACGGTGGAGTTCCGTTTGAGTCCTTGATCTTAATGTGGAAGACGGGGCATCAGATATGGGGGAAAGATCCGTTATTGCTTGAGCGACAGTCATCGTGACCCCTTCGTTTGTGATCCTAGCTGTTGCAACGGTTTGCACAGTCACGTATTATATGAATGGTCAGCGGCCGTTATTCTAACCGTTTCCAAAACTAGGCTTAGCTTGCTTCGGCTATAGGCCGAGCAAACCATCCCTCCAGGCGCCACCTTCTTCAGTAAGCAGGGTGAGGTCGCAACTTTTCATCACCATCTGCACGCTGCCAAGACTCTTTTCATGGAGTCGGCCCCTCGCGGAGGCACGCAATGCTCGGGTTGCCGTGCGGCAGCTGGTGGTGGCAGAGGCCGCAAGGGTTCGGCGGTTCTCGGTCCCGATGCCTTTTCGGCGGCCCAAGTTCTCAAGGAGTGCGGCTGGCTGATCGGCAAGCGCGGGAATAAGATCCACAAGCTCCGGGCCGCTAGGTTTCACCTGTTCCGCAGACACTAATCTCCTAGTCCCTGAATCTCAGAGCCCCAGACCCCCCAAAGCTGAAACTCTCTGGATGAAAGCCTCAAAGCCACGCCACCGAAGCCTTAAATCAGCTGCCGAACTTCGATGCCACAATGCGACGTTTTGACTAAGGAGCTTGCCTTGGTTGCCACCCGCGATGGCGACGAGGAGCCCAGCGCCGCAAGCCCGAAGCCCCCAACACACTCACCTGCACAGCCCGAAGCTCCCGGAGCACAGGCACCATCAGCACAATTATTTTTATCCCCAGCCTCCGACACCATCAGCATCATTATCATCATCATGGCCACTACCATCGTTTTCCCTGCTGCAACTCTGGCCCCTCGCTCAAATGTCCAAACACCGAATGGTGTCTACCTGGTCCCAGCGGAGCGCCTGTCGTTGTGGTCGTTCCACTTGTCATTGTTTTGGTGCTGAAGCCAAGGAGCAGCATGCGGCGTCGTAGTAAACCTGGCAGCTTCGCAGAGCATGTAATACTTTGTAACCCTGACTCAGACACCTCGTGAGGTACTGGTAGGAGTCATTGCCCAATGCGGCTGTCTCGGAAAAGTAGCGACTGTGCGAGCGCAGCAGGAGCTGTGCCAAGACCGTCCTCGCTCGGTGGTCGAAGCTCGGTGGAGGTTTCGGGTTTAGGGTTTGGTGCTTGAAGATTTGGCGGGTAGGGCGGCTAGGGCTAGGGGTTCAAGCGCTTCGAGCTCAGTGTTGAGTCGGTTCAGATCCGCCAATCTGCGAGCAACTCCCCAAGCGCTGCAACATCAGCACTAGCCGTTGCCTCCTGAATCCCAAACCCAAAGGAGATATTTGGGGCGACCATGTCAAAATGCCTCTGCGTACTGCAACTGATCGTGGATGACCTGGAGCTCTTTCCAGAGGCGGGAACACCCACGGCCAAGAGTTGTACAAGTCTGCTGTCAAGTCACCTGTCGGTTTTCAAACGGGGTCCTGTGGGGGTTGTGCAAGGAAAGTTTGCGAAACCTGCATATTCCAAGGGACTCGAATCAAGCTGGAAAGCTACAATCAATCAACCTAGTTGCACAGAGCTTGCGAAAGAAAAAGCATCGGAAACCCATGAAGCTTCAGGCGCTGGAAGCGGCTACAGGTCACAGGTCTTGTCCACCACAATGCGGGTTACGACCTGGAACTCTCCGACTCCAAGCCTGACACCAGGTGGTTCCCATCACCAGCCTGCTCCTGCCAAAGAACCTGGCCCCCTTCGCCCCCATCGGCTTTGACGAGGTGCGGCAAGAAGAAGAAGAAGAGGACACCTGAAAAGAGTCGCGACAGGGGACTCGCGCTGTAGAGTAGTTGAGCAGGAGTTGAAAGAGAGCCTATCACTGTCAGAGCCTGGAGTCTCAAAAGTCCCGCTGGCAAGTTCTTGGTGCGAGCATCAAGACGAGCCTTTCCCCGCTTTGCATCCTTGCAGCATGTTTTTGGCACTTCCTCTTCTCATCACTCACGCGCGGCGTGCGGCGCGTGCGCGGCCGATCTGCCAGTTGCGGGCGTCTGACGAGGCAGCACGGCGAGCGGGCTGCGATGCATCGCTGCGCGAGACGCCGAGGTCTCGGGACTTCAGAAGTGCTGCCTGCCGAGGGTTCAGGAGCCCAGAGGGAGCTGATGTGACAGTCACTTCGGGGCAGCAGATGTCAGGGAACGTGAGAATCCTCCATCCTGGGGAGCAATGGTTCCAAGAGTAGAAGTAACAAGTATCTCCTGACAGAAGATCACGGCGTTGCCGCAATGTTCCTCTATTCTCCGGCCGTGAAGAAGGGTCGAGGTGCCTTGGCGAAGTCTTTCAAAGATCAGGCCGAAGACGATTTCGATGATCGGGCGGAGTTCCAAATCGAGAAGGTGGAGTTTCCCATGTTTTCCGGTAGCTTAACAAAGTACAGCATCACGGCGGGTGAGGATACTGACTCCCCGGATGTCACCGTTCCAAATCCCGCATGGGGTATGCTGCCTTTGCTGTCTGAACAGCTCGTGGGTTTTTTCGAAGCACGAGGTGTGAAGGTCACCAAGACGATGGAGACGAAACAATTCCACACGAAGCTCAACTTTGTCATTCGGAAGCTTTCAGGAGTTGTTGGGCTCACGGTTACAAAGATGGATTACCAGAAGATTGCCGGGAAGAAGCATGTCAAGAACAAGAGGAAGCGCGATGAGTTTGAGTTTGGTGGCTTCTCGGAAGAGGAGCCCGAGGAAAAGCAGACCTGGAGTATCCCAGGCATGGAGAAGATGAATTCGAGGGCCGAGCTGGCGACTGTAGCACTGGACATCGAAGACGTTGTTGCAGATGAAGTGAAGAACATGTTGACGATCACCTTCAAGCATCCCTTGCGAGCTTTTCACCAGCAGTCCATAGGCAAGGATGGCGAGATTACATATGTGGAAGTGGAGGAGGAGACCAAAGGGACGAACGTGCCGATTTCCGAGCCACCAGCGGCAGTGCTTGGACAAGAACTTGTGAAGATTGCTCCTAGCACAATGAAGATGCATCTCTACTTCTTGGGGGACTGGAACGACACAGATGCCTTGGGTGGTGAAGGCCAGGGCAAAGCCTGCAAGAAAGAGTTAGGCTGGTACCTCGACATACTGAAGAAAATCCAATCCACGATCGACAAGAAGCGAGAGGTTGTGGCAAAGGTCCAGCAGCGACGGGACGAGCAGAAAGGCACGAAGTTCTGCGATCTTGCTGCAGACAGTCATGCCAGGAAAGCCGTCGAGGAGTTCGACTTGGATATCACAGAAGAAACCGGACACTGGGACCCTTCAGTGCTGGATGAAGAGTGGAAAGCTTGGTATGACTTGCGAAAGCAAGCTGAGTCGCGTTGCAGTCGGCTGTTTCGAGAGGGTTGTGAAATGGAAGGCGATGAGGAGAAAGATGAGGAAGAGGAGTTCGATGTTGATGACCATGATGAAGACTACTACCAATCGACAGGATTTCAACTGAAGATGTTGAAGGACTTACGGAGGGCATACTGCAATTCATTGAGGCGTGCGGGGCTCGATGTTGCCAAAGCAGAAGCTGCAGCTAAAGGCCTTTTCCTGCAAAGTGTCCATGTGAGCGAGGATGGTGGCATCCAGCCCCGTACGGTTGATGTGCACGTTCGCATATTCAGTGCTGTTGGCCAAGCCAAGCTGGTCGATGTCGAACACGAACATCATGCTCGAGCACGTATGAGTTTTTGTGAAGAGCACGCCTACATCAAAGCGCAGGTTCATGCAGTGGATCCTGAAACTTTAACCTTCCAGGTAGTGGATGACCTTGCTGGCACAGTGGACGACATCACACTCTTCAAAATGGAACGTCATCCTCGCACGGGCAAGCGCACCTACTCGCTGGCACCGGTCAAGCAGGCCCAGAAGCTCTCCGAAGCCATTTTGGGTCAGCGTCGCGGGTCCTTGGCTGCTTTCTACAGCTTCTACATCTTTATGATGGCAGCTGGTGCTGAGACACGGCCTTTCACTGACATGGATTACTGTGAGTTTTGTCCACTGAGCTACCTAGAGTCGAAGCTTCACCACAAGAGATAGGGTAGGGAGGGGTTGCCAAGACGTGTGCAATGTGAGCATTGTACATGCGGCCTGTGTGCCTGTACATGCGGCGGTGTGGTGCGACGGGAGAGAAGAAAAGCGGTGCAGGCTTTGCTTTCGTTGTTGGTGCATGGTCGCCGTTTGCACTGAGTCAGCTTGTGAACGACAGCAGCGCTCGGGTGGCAGTGTCATGCTGCAACTGATTCTGCCAGCCGTGACCACCCGGACCCACCGCCCCTCGCTTGAGCCCGGACCCGTCCGTTGCTCAGCTGGCTTCTCCTTGAGCTACGTGGCGGGCCGCGCGAGCGCATCGCCGGAGCGACGAAGGCCCCCGACACGAGGAGGGCGGCCAGATTGTCCGCTCAGGCTTGAGAAGCGCGAAAGGGAATTACCCAATCGTCATGCTGAATCGTTCATAGCCACATAGACGCAACCTATGTATGAAATCTGAGACGCCGGGGTAGTGTAGACAGTTGCAAAACAGTGACGTTGTAGTAGAAGACCATCCCTAAAAAGGGGTACCAAGGGCCCGGCCATGGCAATTGTCGCCGTTCCGCTTCTCATGCACCGACCATATCAAGATATCGTCAACATGACCAGTTTTACATATTTTTCATATTTGGCCATTTGCATGTCCTCGTCCGCTTTTGTGAAGGCGCACGAAGCGGCTGAAGCTGCAGCCGCAGAGAGCTTCTTGGGCCGGGAGCAGAAAACATTCGATTCAAGCAAGCGAAGCGTTGACTACGACGACCTTTACCATGACGACGACGCCAGCAGCCGCTGCAGCTGCAGCCGTTCCGCATCCGCGACCACGACGACCACGAGTGGCACTGTGACTACGGCGACGACGACGACGACTACCGCAGCTACGACTACTACTTACACCACTACTACTACTACTACTACTACTACTGCTGCTTCTGCGGCCTCTTCTACTACTGCTGCTGCTGCTGCTGCTGCTGCTGCTACGACTACGACGACTACGACGACGACGACGACGACGACTACTGCTACTGCTACTGCTACTGGTACTGCTACTGCTGCTACTACTGCTACTACTGCTACTACTGCTACTGCTACTACTGCTGCTGCTGCTACTGCTACTGCTACTGCTACTGCTACTGCTACCGCTACCGCTACCGCTGCTACTACTG